GACTATGTTGGATCATTTAGGAAAGATATCACGTCATCCAGTTTTTATTAGCTTGGGCAATATCCCAACAAACTTGCATAATAAACCTGAGGCGAAGACGCTTGTCAGTATTATACCAACATTACAAGGAACGAAAGAAGAATGAAAAGTCCCGGAATTTAGAAAATTAATTTGACAAACTTTCCACAAATGCATGAATGTACTCTTTGAACCTTTACACTTGCAGTATCACTCAGGGGTACTATTAAAAGTTAACAATTGTAATTTAAGATGTAGTATGATGTTATCTTGCATTATTGGTGACTGGCCTGAGAATTGCAAATCCTGTTTGACTTACAATGGAACAAGCTGTACACATCCCTGTCACACCTGCCTTATCGAAAAGGATAAACTAAATGTTATTAGTTTATCTACTAATCACAAGACTATCCAAACAGAAAGTCAAATGAAACAGATTATTGAAATGGGTCAAGTCAAAACTTATTTACTGCATAATGAAACTAATAGTTTCTAGAACCATTTATAAATACAATAATTTAGTACATTAATTTTATAAAGCTTTTGTATTTTTGTTTTTTAATCTACCTTAATATATAAACCCTTCCATATTAAAAAAATTATATATAGAAACTTTAATATTTATACAGCAACGGTTCCGGAACGAATGCACCACCTAGATCTTGAATTATTTCAACATATGGTCAAATTCACGTGAGATCTTTTAAAATTTTATGGTGGAAATGCCCTTGTTAATAAGATGAACCTAAGGTTTGGATTAATACTGTTTATCCAGGATTAAAAATCTTTAATTTTGGGCTTGCAGATCTTGTGTTGTTTACAGCATCCAAGTATAGAGATATGATGAAGGTCATGCCTTTCATTCTTGAAGGCCTTCTTGAAGATAAAAAAAATGAATCACTGATTCTAATGTTTGTTAACTGGAACAAAATGTATCATAAATCGAAACAATGTAGATTTACACAAACCGATCTTCTCCATTTTGAGGTTTGTTTTAGTAAAATTATGTAACTCGTTAAAACTATCCCATGATAACTTATCATTACTAGAATTGTTTTATAATATCATATAAAAGTGTTCGAAATAACTAAATTTATGTAATAATTGTGTTTAAATTTATAATATTTATTATTATATAATTATGTTATCTCAAAGTTTGTTATTTGATACTTTTACAGAAGTCTATTAAAACGTGGGCAAAAAATTTTGTCGACATTCTTGCCCCATTTATGAAAAATGATTGTCAATTTTTAAAGTTTCACCACTGGATACATCATACCATTGAGACGATCGAAGAATTCGGGAACCTAAATGGATTAAGCGCTAATACATTTGAAGCACTTCACAAACAATACATCAAATCTCCATATAGAAAATCCAACAAACGAAATATTGATTCGCAAATTTTACCAAAGGTATGTTTAAATATATAAAATGATTTTAACATAGATCTGTGGTTTAGAATTTTTTTTTTTTTGGTGTTAAGGTGGGATCTTGCCCATGACTTTATTTATTAATAATACTTTACATGTATCATCAC